TTTCATTATATTGAAGGGCTGTTTTTGAGAGGTAAGCATTTCTAACATAAGAGCAGTATTTCATTTTTGGCATTATTATCTTAAACATCAGGATGAGGAAGGTACTTTATTAAGCATATTATGAAAAACTTTGATAATTTTGGTAGCTAAAACATAAAGATACATGAAAATTTACCCCAACTTACTGTAACCATTCTTCTAGAGCAGGGATATTAAATTGATTTGGAAGTGACTTTCAGCAGTGTTGGGAGGATTCTATGGCTGTGTCCCTGCCATAACCCCAATTATCTATAGGTGTGGGAGGGAGGAGTTTAATGAATCAGGTATTTGTTATGCATAACATTTTTTCTATTTGGGCATAACTTGAGAACCAGGAAATAAGTCAAAAACCTATGAGCAGCCAAAAATGTTAATGTCATCAACTTCAGATACTATATCTGGTGTAGAATATGCATGAGAAAACCTTTTAAAACTTCTCTTTTAGAGCTTTTCATGCTTATTTTGTCAACACTTCTAATAAATATAGTTACCCAGTTTCTAAACTAGTAGCAGGCTAGGATAAGAAGACTTACTATAAGTAGCATATTGACAGGAGTGATAATTGACCTAGAAAATGTAAACTTAGGTTATTTCTTTTTATCTTAGAAAATTGGAGTTAATTGATTCCAGGAAGTTGTAGATTGAAAGTGATTATAAACCTCATTGATACCTGAAGAGGTTTGTAAATATGTATTTTTTATATCTATATCTCCTAACAATTCTACTGTCTTGAGTGAGTGATTCTTTCCATGAAACTCCCAGATAATAAAGCCCCAGTGGAATAAACTTTGGTTAACATAGTATTCATTTTAATATGAAACTTCCTAGTAATATGAAAATTCAAAGTTTTTATCTTTAGCTTGTATTGTTCAACATAGGATTGATGCCTTTTTAATTCCTGTTTTTTGGTATAGTTAAAAACATATATTTGAGATATTCTAGATTTAAGAATTAGTGTCCATGCTTATCAACTTAGTTCTTACAAAAATAACAGTATTGTGAAAGCATTTCAAGTGGGCTCTGAGTCAGAACTTAGAGAAGCCCTCTTGTATATTTAATGAAAACATAGGTTAGAAAATATGATATCGCACATGATAAAGGTTAAGGTCGTTCTGGAGGGGCCGCAAGGGTTGTTCAGTAGTGAAGGACTTGGCTGGCATGGGTAAGACTCTGGGTTCAAGGCTTTGCACTGATCCCAAGCACCACATAAACAAGAAAAGATGCAGTAAAACTTGTTTTAACCAGATGTGGTGTCTCATGCCTGGAATCCCAGTTACTTGGGAGGTAGAGATTGGGAGCATTGTTGTTCAAGACCAGCCAGGGCAAAAACTTCACAAGACCCCATCTCAACCAATAAGAAGCTGGACTCAGTGGCATGCACCAGTTATCCCGGCTATGTGGGAAGCATAAATAGGAGGATCTCGCATAAATACGAGACTATTTCAGACAAACAAACAAAATAAAGCGAAAAGGACTGGAGGTGGGTTTCAAGTAGGAGAGTGCTTGTCTAGCAAGCATTAGACTCTGAGTTCAAACCCCAGTACTATAAGATAAATAAATAACAAACCTGAAAATCTTTTGTTTTAGAGGTATCTCCATGTTAATGGCATTATTTTTATTATTTTTACTGTAAGTCACAAATAAATCTGACGAATAGTCATCTAGTGAATACTGGGGAAGTAGATAATGGAATTAAAAGACCTGTGTATTATCCCAGATCTTGGAGTGTGTTTCCTAGGCAAGTCATATAAGCATTCTGACCTTTTAATTTTCTCATTAGGAAATAGGTAAGCAGGAGCGATATTGTCATAACCAATCAGATTGTTTGAGTATCAAAAGCTATAACATCTCTGAAAGCATTTGTAATTGTGGTGCTATGCTAGGTGTTACATTTGCCTTGTAGGGTACATGTACTTGAGAGAGAAGTACTTCCAATATGATGGTGGCATGCATCATACTATGGTTGCACATAGGAAAACATTTCTGGAGAGGATTAGGGTGACATCTGAGGAGTCATGGTACAGGAATAGGGCATTCAATCTTATTTCTACAAGTGATTGTATTAGTTTTATAATGTTGATAAGAAGTTACTGCAGCTTTAATGCCTAATAACCTAGTTACTTCACAGTTTTATAGGTCAGAAGTCTGCCATGGTTAAACTGGGTTCTCCGCTCAGGGCCTTACAAGTTACTGCAGCTTTAATGCCTAATAACCTAGTTACTTCACAGTTTTATAGGTCAGAAGTCTGGCATGGTTAAACTGGGTTCTCCGCTCAGGGCCTTACAAGGCTAAAATCAAGGTGTCATCAGGTTTTGTTCTCATCTAGAACTTTAGGGTCCTTGTCTATGCTCATGTGGTTATAGGTAAAATTCAGTCTTTTGTGAAAGACTGTCCTTATATCTTTTCAATTGTTGAAGTGGGGGACCACTTTCAGCTCTTAGAGGCTGCCAGTTCCTTGCCACTTAGGCATTTTGTTTTCTTTCAGGATAGGAAGAGTGCATCTCTCTACCCTCAGTCAGATCTATATTTGAAGGGTTTATGTAATAAGATTAGATTATCCAGGTAATCTTTTGATGAACTTAAAATTTTAGTAACCATCAATATCCTTTTTCCATGCAATGTAACATAATCACAGGAGCATTCTCAGTGCAAGGATTATTCAGGGCCATTTTAGTTTTGCCTACACACAGTGACTAAAATGATTTTACTTATACTGAAGATGAGGCCTGTGATCAGCTAATAATCAGTGGGCCACCAATGTATATTAATTATCAGCCAGGATATAACTACCAGTTTCTTAGCAAATAGCTTAAAGATCTAACTTTAGATTTCTCATGGCTATGAGAAGTAGCTAAAGCCTTTTATCTTTTAAAATTTTCTTTTCTACCACTGAGCTGCCTACCCAGCTCTTTAAATCCCTTTATGTATCTTGAAGTGAGATAGTGAATTAAAACCCAGATAACCCATGAGAAGTGTTCAAGTACAGTTCTTTATGCAGTGTTTTATATTTTACAGTTACATCTATTCTCTCATGATCCTTAATTTTGCAACTCCAGAGAATGACCAGCTATCCATCAGGCCAAGTTTGCCAGGTGGTACTACTTTTCTGAGAACAATATATTTTAGAACCTATTCTTCAACTTTGTAAACCCCCCACTTGATTTTGTCAACTTATCCAAAGCTGATGGGGTCCTCTGATTAGACTTACATGAAACCAAGATATAAGACCTGCTACAAATTTTTAAAATTCACAGTGGAGTATACTTTCAAGTGATTAGAGGTTGTGCACAGCTCATATTTGTGCAACTTTGAAGCTCTCTTCCTATGTTTACCAAGTTATGACTTTAATTTTGTATGTCTATTTTCTCACTATGACTCAAAGTCTCATGTGGGTGTGTCTGAGTGACAGACCTCAAGTTACATGCTCCAAATAAAAAGAGGATTAGGTTAGTAAGTTTTCTGAGTTCTAACTTGCACTTTTATAAGATGTGTTAGTGGAAAAAAAGGTGATTAAACTTATGTTTTATAGCTGCTTTTGCCCCTCCCAATTAAACTGCTCCTTTTGAGTTCTGCTTTTGACATAAAAATCTTTCCCATTCAGAGATTAAAGAAGTAAACTATTGTATTTCCTTTTTGTATTTCAATGTAAAAAAAAATAAATCCTTAATGTAGCTTAAGTATGAAGTAAGGATCTGATTGATGTTTCTCTCCCCCACCCATATGGATGGTCAGTTGTCCTAACACCATTATGCCACATCTGTCTTGATGTGAAATGTTACTTTTTTTTATAAATTAAAAATGTCTGTTTGTATGTGTGTATAGTGCTTCTGTGTATGTATACTTTCCTCATGACCTCTCTGTTCCAGCCTAGCCATAGCAGTTATGTGTACAGTTTTGATAGATCAGAACTTTATTTGTTCATTCATCTACTCATTTTTTAATGCCTTTTGTGTAGACTACAAAAGTGTAAGGGCTATTCATTTATATGTATAGAGGAGTTCAGATCTATTTTGTCACAGGTTTTCGAAGGGTCTTGAAGGTTTTGGTTTTATACTTTAAGGGCTATTATTAGTTCACCTTAGACTAGACCTTAGACTTCTAGTTTAAATTATGGGTTCTTTTTGTTTTTTTTGTTTGTTTTTACTGAGGATTATAGTAGTCAGGCTTAGCATCTCTGTATTTAACTATAGTGTATAACTAGGTTCAAAGAAAGGCTTTGGACTAGAGATGTAGACAAATGTTATTTACTTGTGTATTTCATATAGTATTGAATGTTTAAAGGACTTTAAAGATGAAATTAAGTCTTTTTTTTTAATGAACTTTAAATTTTAAAATCATTTTGTTTTATAGAAAACTTGCAGAGCTAGTACAGAGATTTCATATACTCCTGACTTGGCTTCAGTTTCCCTTAATATCATCTTACAGTACCATTACAACCGTATTTGATATATGAAGAGACATAGCCTTCAAAAGTTTATTTAAGCCCGGTGTCAGGGCATGCACCTGTAATCCCAACAGTGGAGAGGCTAAGACAAGAGGACTGTGAGTTCAACAGTAGAGAGGCTAGGACAAGAGGACTGCGAGTTCAAGATGAGCCTGGGCTATACATAGTGAATTTGAGGTCACCCCAGACTATAGTGAGACTTTTGTCTTAGAAATAAATAAATAAATAAATAAATGCAAAGAACTCTCTCAAAATTTAGCTAAGAAATAGTTCTTAATACTAAGAACTATTAAGTATTAAGAAATAGTTCTTAATACTGCTGATAAAGTCAAACCACGGGTCCACTAGGTAGCCTGAGTCTTTTAGTTGATTATATTTTAGTTACTCTTTTCTGCTTTTTAAATGGTTGTTCATTTCCTTTCTTTTACTGGGTTTGTATGTGTAGATGGAGAAAAGAACAACATAGTGCCTCAGTCAATGTAGTCTTTCTAATTTGTACAATAATTTTAAAATATAGGCTTCCTCCAGCTCTCCAGTGCCAACAAGAACTAGAAGCAGGACATCTTCATTTACAGAGCAACTTGATGAGGTTATTTCCAATAGAGAGGTAAGTTTGAAATTTCTAAGATACTTCTCTCAAGAAATGAATCTAGACTGTAATGCTACTGTTGATAACAAAATGGGAACTATTTTGGCAGGCCAATTATTTAATTCCTAGGTATTGTTTTTGTTAGTTATATAGTCTCTTTTTTTCACATAGCAGTTGTGCATTTGTAAAGTGTTTCTTCTTTGAGACCTTATTTTAAGAGTATACTATACTCTTTAATATTTGAAGCTTTCAGAAAAATTTGGTGACATTTTGTTCAGCATAGCATCATATGGGAAGAAGCCCTATATTTTCAAGCTGGTGAATGGAAGCTGAAAAGTAACTTAACTTATTCTACATAACTAAGAAGGTGGCATCAGAACTTTTTTCCCCCCAACATCCTTTTTCTTGATGTGAAATATAGCACAAATACAGAAAAGAAGTAACTTGAGCTTCAACAATAGAGTGAATTATCATGAAGTGACTCTCCATATTACTACCACATAGGTCAAGAAAATGAACACTACCAGCACTTTAGTGCTTTTTTCCCCACCTCTGAAAGATTGCCAGCATCCTGAATTTTTGGTATTTGCTTTCTTCCTTTTCTTTATAGTTTTACTATTTAAGCTGCTTTTTAAATGTAAACATTACAGTTAAGCATGTCTCCAGTTTTTGGCTGTTGTGAATTATGCTGCTATGAACATTTGTGTACTTTTTTTTTTTTTTTTTTTTTGGTACATGTAATACCTGTATTTCTACTAGCATATGTTTTGGAACAGAATCATTTTCTCAAAGGATATAATTGTTTTTAACACTTTAGAAGATAATGTCAATTGTATTCCAGAGTGGTTGTAAATATTTTTACCGTCTCACCTCATGAAAGTAACTTGTTAGTCTTTAGTTTAGCCATTCTGGAAGATGATTATCTTTTGTTACAGTTTTAATTTGTATTTATCTTATCACTAAAATTGAATTTTCATCTATTTATTGACCATTTGATATATATATATTTGTGAAGTTCTTGTTTAAAGCTTTGTCCCATTTTTCTTTTTTTTTTTTTTGGCAGTACTGGAATTTGAACTCAGGGCCTCATACTTGCTGGGCAAGCACTCTACCACTTGAGCCACTCCATCTGCCCTGTCCCATTTTTCTATTGAATTTTACTGATTTGTAGGATTTCTTGTGTGTGTGTGTGTGTGTGTGTGTGTGTATTCTTTTGTTTTGGTAGTTCTGGCAGTCAAATTCAGTCTTATGAAATGTGCTCTATTACTGAGCTATTCTCTCAGTCCCAGGTCCCAGGAATTCTTTTTTTTTTTATAGTATAGATTTGAGTTCTTTCTTGACTGTATGTTTCTTTCACCTTGTTTGCCATTCTTCTTTGATGAAAAGAGGCTTATTATACTTTCCAACTTATCAGTACTTAATTTTATAGCTAGTATTCTTTATTTCATGTTAAAGAATTATTTTCTTAAGAGTAGTTTCTTATATTATCTTGTTTTACTTTTCACATTTAAATCTATACCCCACTTGGAAATGATTTTTCAATATGATGTGAAGTAGGGATCAAGTTTCATCCTCCATAGTGTATCTAGCCTTTTGTACTATATTTTCCACATTGCTCTACTTTTTTCAGAAACTAAGTATGCATAGTTGAGTGGCTTTTTTGAGCTTTCTATTCTGATCTATTGTTTGCTTTGCTTGTCTTTGATTCAATTTCACAATGTCTTAATAACTAAACTTTTATGTTCTTGGTCTCAGTATAGCAAGTCCTCCCATGTTCCTGAAAGTCTTGGTTATTCTTGTTCCTTTCTGTATAATTCCATATCAACTTTTGAATCAGGTAATTAAGTTCTGTAAAAACAAAACCAAAACTAAATAAAGTGTAAACATGACCACAAAACAAACTTGTAAGAATTTTGGTCGAGATTGTATTGAGTCTATAGATTGGTTTGAAGTGTTGCAGGCTGGTGTCGAGGATCCTTGCCTTCACAGGCCAGAGAACTGGCTCATGGGGCAGCTGATTGTCTTGTAAGCCAAAGCCAGTATATAAAGTAGGATTTATTAGAGAGAAGGGAAAGGCTACAGCTAGAGCAGTGCCGCGGAGTCCAGAAACTGGTAGCTCCTTGCTCAGATAAAGGCTGGGGTTTTTATGGACATTTTAACTCGGTTAGGTGGTTTCTTTTCACTGGCCATGGATTCACAGGCTTTCTTAGGTGAACTGGTTTGTTTTGCCCCTTTTTGGGGAAGGGGAAACAATCGAGAGCATTTTGTTCATCAGACCCAGTATCTCCTCTTCAGGATGCAGAAATGAAGATTTATTAATCCTCAGGATGCAGAAATGATATTGCTCTCTATGGGGGGATGGGATACTCACTCATCTGCCTTAAGTCTCCAGACTTAAGGAGACTTCTCTCCCTTTTGAGAGAAGTACCCAATTGCTGTTGGGGAGAGGGGAGATGACTCATCTAGCTGCTTTGTGCTGACAATGGGGTGCTGGGTGGGGGTTGGGGGAGGATGGTGGTGCTTGTCTCAGGGGTTGACCCATGCAGTCTTCAGGGGCCCCGATAGAACGGGATGGAGGTCTCATGTATAGGCAGAGGTGAGTATTCCTTGACTAAGAGCTGGAGTTTGCATAATAAGTGCTCTGGAGAGAGAGCAGTAAAACTGCTTTTAAGAGGTTTAAGATTTCCCTGGGATGTTTGATAAGCGATCCTTCAGTAGTTAACAATCCTCACTTGGAGGGGGTGCTGTTTTCTTGCTCCCTCCCTTGTTAGATTGAGCTTTTTCTCTCTCTCCTGGTTATTACTGAACCTAACTGGGCTTAACTGGGGGTGACTGGAGATTCAGAAAAGACACAGGATAGACAGAAAGTGGGGTCAAGTGTGTTGGGTGTTTGGGTGGAAACGCCCAGCCCTTATTGCTTCTTTTCTCTATCTTTATTCTTAAAGGCCTTACTCCTTGCAGTTCTTTAAAACCTTGCTTAAAACCTCTTTCCTTAGACTCCCACTGTCCCATGTTTTCTCTTAGGTTATCTTTAGCTTAATCACTGTTAAAGTCTTTTGACCCCAGGCTTGCAGCTTTTCTTTAGCATTCTCTCTTTAGCTTTCTTAAAGCCTTGGTGCTCAGACTTGCAAAGTCTTGGTCCTCTATCTTGCACTGTCCCATGTTCTCTCTGGCTTTTCTTTAGCTTCTAAACCCTATGTTAAAGTTCTTTCTTTAGCTTAGCTTTCCTAAGGCGTATGTTAAAGTTCTCAGTGCAGACTTTCTATCAAATCCTTTTTAGCCATTCTTTTCCCTTCAGCAATTTCCCTTTAGCAATTCTTTTCCCTTCAGTAATTCTTTTCCCTTCCAAAAGCTTTCCACACCAAAACGCCCAAAGCAAAAGCCAAAAGCCAAAGCCCAAAAAACCTCAAAAGCAAAAGCCCCATGCCCCCTTTCAGTGGGTCTTTTTATATCCAATGGCAAATAGGGTGGAGCAGAGGCCCTCAGGGCGGGGCGTGACATTGTAACAGGAGAAATCTGCTTTCCTGCTTCTCTGAATGCAAATTTAGGAGATGCAGCTATTCTGCATTTTTCTGTTTCCTGTTGGGGCTATGCCTTTCTCAGCCTACAGGTAAAAGCAATTAAGCCACATTTCACCTGGCTTATGGACAGTTCTCATAGGCTTTTCATAATCTGCTCTCCACACTTGGTCTTTCCAAAGAGCCACATGGGCATACAGGACCAGGAAAGCGTACTTAGAGTCTGTATAGATGTTGGCAGTTTTTCCTTCAGATAGTCATAATGCCTTAGTGAGAGCTATCAGCTCAGCCAATTGGGCACTAGTAGAAAGAGGCAGAGGTTCAGCCCATAGGGTCTCAGTGAGACAGACCACAGCTGCCCCTGCTCATCTAATTCCCTCCCAGATGAATGAACTTCCGTCCATGAAGAGAGTGAGGTCTGGGTCTGGGAGTGGCTGGTCAAGGAGGTCAGGCCTAGCCAAATAACACTCAACTAGCACCTCCTCACAGGAATGCATGAGTGGGTCCCCCTCAGTGGGGAGGAGTGATTCCAGATTTAGGGCAGAGCACACCTGAAGGCTCACATCTGGACATTCTAATACTGGGCCTGATACTTAAGTAGCCTGTTGTCTGATAACCATAGTCCTCCTTTAGCTATTAGAAGCCCTCCTAGATTATGTGGAGTATATGTGGTTAAAGGCTGTCCAAGAATTAATTTTTTGGCTTCTGGATCAAGAGGCAGGTTACCACTAGGGCCCTTAGGTACTCAGGCCACCCTTTAGCCACATTTTCTAGTTTTTTTACTCAGCTATCCCAGTGGTTGTAGATTGGGGCCTCGGAGCTGGATTAATACTCGTAGGGTTCACCTCCACCTTTTCCTAGACATATACCTGGAAGTGGTCTTGTGTGGGCAAGCTCAATGCTGAGGCAGTTTGGAGTGACAGTTTAAAGGCCTGAAAAGCTTTTGTGTTTTCAGGGTTGAAGGACTGAAGGACAGACTGCGGGAAGTCCCAAAAGGGCAATAAGTGGTCAAGGAGACACTTCTCCTCCCTAAGAAATGCCTGTTTGCATTTGAAAGGCATCTCCATCCTCAGGCAATGCAAATAGGCTATAAAACCCCACTCCCCACCCAGGCCCAGGGGATCACCTGTTTCCGGGTCCCCCTGCATTCTCCAATATGCAGTCTTTCTCTTCTCTTTTCTCCAACTAAATTCTCTGCAAATAAAATCTTTCCGACCTCTGCTGTTGGAGTCTGCCTGTGCTTTCATTCTCAGAGCAGGTTCAAGAACCCTGAGCATCTAAAATTCCTGCACGTGTCATCTGTGCATCAGGGTCCCATTCTAAAAGGGATTGAAAGCCTCACTGGGCATCATTTAGGAGCTGGTATGGGGGCCTGGCAAGGGCTGTATATCTAGGGATCCAGATTCTGCAAAGTCCTATAACTCCCAAGAAAGCTGTAAGCTGCTTTATGTCTGGAGCAGTGGGAAACAGAGAATTGGGTAGATTCCCTCATGACTCAGG